TTCTGTTTTACACTTGTGTATACAAAATGACAAATAAATCTGTCTAAGTCTATACTTTGGCTCTGGTTTGACAAATAAGGAAATCTTTTAGCACCAGCATTAAATTGGGCAGGATGTCAAAGTGTTCTCAGGTTGCTGTTTGGTGCTGCTGGTTAGCCGTCATATGCTGGTCAGATCTCCAAGCTTTCTTTCTCAAATGGGTTGTTGTATGATGACTTCATTCTCGTAATATTGCAACTTTATTCTCAAAGTAAAAAAATAAATAGATCTTTAGCCAGGCCCTAATACTCTGTCTTATGTTTTCCTTAGAGATTTTGATAGAATGAAAAATATTCTTTTTGATCTGCCAGATTGATAAATGTAACCGTATTTATATATTTTATTTCATTTGGGAACTGTTTCAAACCCTGTTTAAACCCATTAACTCAAGGAAAGAGTAAAGAATTTCCTTTTTAAATCTGTGCACAAAATAAAAATAATTTTAAAACATCACTGCTTCTACGTACAGTTGAGTGGAATTGAGGAAATAAATTCTGTATGGATACCTTCCTTAACACAACACCTGTTAAGCCGTTTCTCCTCCAGCTGACTCACCCTAATGAGCTTTTCAATAAGCTCCATATGAAAGTGTAACCTCGTGAAAAGAAATATTCATAGAATTTAAATAAGAGTTCATAGGTTTCCTGTTTATACTGGTTGAAAAATGTATAATTTATTCCAACGTTTATAAAAGGTAAATGGTATAGAATTAAACTTCATTGGGAATACATTACTAAAATATGCACGACTTTTTCTCTTAAAAGGATGGAAATCGAGAAGAAATTAAATCGAAAGAAGGAATCTGAATTCTTTAAGTTGAAACAACCCCAGGTATCACGGACGTGTGTGTCTCACACACCTTCTTGGCTGCAGGAAAGGCGTAAGAAAGGACATCAGTTCATTATATTTCCATTCCTTTTGGGTCCCAGTTGTGGATCCACTTCCAACAGAGCTTTTTCTTTCATGTTTAACAAAGGAATCCCGGAGAGTTCTCCACCGAGCCTTACAAATGTCAGCTAGAAATAGAAGAAACACGTATTAGAAACACAATTTAACACACAACGTTTCTTGCCATGTACAGGTACTTAACCCTTCTGGATCAACCTTGCTTTTACACAAGGTGTTGTGTTCAGCCATTCAGAAGAACTAATAGAGAGCTTCATCCCCATACTAAAAGAAGACACTTCGATGGAAAAATGGTAGTAGTTGCTCCAATACAGCCACCATCTAGTAGTTTTAGATGCTGATGTATGGTGATCTGGAACTCCTGTTTACTCTATAGACAATGTGTGTGTAGTTTGTTGGTAAATAGCGAACTATTAGGTTTGATTTGTTATTATGTTAGAATTGTATTGTAATTGTTTATAACCTGATCTTCAGTCGCCCAGTTGTGTCTTAAAACATTTTTTTATGTGTATTCTGTTTTATGAATAAGGAAAGTTACAAAAAAAGGTGAAGAAATTGATATAAAAAAATGATTTTGAAAAAACATTTACAAAATTAAAGTACGGTACCTAATATCTGCCTGTGAAGGTTAGAGGTTCTGCAACCTGTCAAAACAATTTACAATATAATTTACATTTGATTTAACTGAAACTTTTAAGCGTCTTTTTTGCATTTTCAGAAAAGTTTTCAATTATACGATAAACCATGAAAATGTTTCTAAAATGCTTCCTTTAAACACTTTTATACTGCCTTCAAATACATGAATATTAGTTTGTCTAATTGTCAATTTTGTATTAGGCTCTTTAACCTAAACAGAATTAATGTTTATAACTGTCTTAGTTGTAATGAAACAATTATTATTTATTTATTTCATTACTTTACCATGCACATTAACCCGGCCATGTGCATTAATAGTCATTTAAATACTCAGCATCATTGTAAACACTGTTGATTGTATATTCTGAGATCCTTATTTTATTCCTAATGTATTTCTATAAGTTATTTTACACTGTTTATATGGGAGTAATTTTACTATGTGAGTGATACTTATTTTATTCTGTCTTATAATATTTTATTTTAGCACTATTGTACTTCATTAAATGGTTGTGCTAAAAGTAAAGGGATTTCCCACAAGAAATTGATAAAGTAATTCTGATTTAGCAAACTAGAAAGGCTGAAATACTCAGCAGGATGAACTCACCTTCCATTCCAATGACTGCTGCTACCTCCCCCCATTCCATCTCCTTCCTGCCGTTATCCTTGTAAAAAGGATGATTGGCATCATAGAAAATTTTGTGTTTTTCCACTTCCAAAATCAACTTCTCGTCGTCCATATTGCCAATCTCTAAGACCCTCCACCTGACTTATGTTTCACCTCTTGATTTATGATCTGATTGCGTGTATCTTATTTTGAAATGCACCGGATGCGCTTTACTTTTCCGATTTCTGACTTCCTGGCTGGCTTGATCTGTTTTCTTTAGAGAAATTTACGCGTTTTGCTCCGTCATCCGTGAAAAATAGCCTCGATCCATTTCTGTGACTTAAGGTTGCTCCTAGTCATGTCCCAGAACCACGGAGTCAGGGTTGATTACAGCAGAGTCTAGAATGGTTTCTCTAGGCAACGGATGGAAAAAGGAGGATTGACGGAGTCTGTGTGAATTCAAAGTGAGGTCCGTTCTTGCAGGCGAAAAAAGCAGCGGGAACTGACGTCTGGAATCGCGAGATCACGAGTTCGCGCGAGAGTAGCAAGCTCACTCGCGAAGTCGTGAGCTCACGCGATAGTAACTATTATGAATTCGGAGAGGCTCACTTGATACAGATTTTTTATTTTTCTTGCACGGTCACCTCATTTGACGTGACCTTTGTGTCTCTACGATGGGTAAGAAAGCTACGTCTGTAAACATTGTATATTTCAGAAGTGTTGCTGTTATACTCGTGTTTGACACATATTCATGAAAGATGTGTGACTGTTTTTTTTATTGTTATACATTCACCAGTTAACCTAATTCTTTTTATGTGTGACATGTAGTGCCACTTAACAAGAAAAGAGCCCTCGCGATTGTTCTCCTTCTCGCACTGAGGAGGAGGAGGGAACGAAAGAGGCGCTTTTGGGTGCATCCCTTCAACCTGCGAAGGAAGCAGAGAGGGGATTTTTATCACCTTGTGGCAGAGCTGAGGCTGGACAGGAATCGCCATCAGGAATACTTCAGGATGAGTGTAGAGAAGATGGACGAACTGCTGTCTCTAGTTGGTCCTGAGCTCAGGCGGCAATCAACCTCTTTCAGAGCCCCTATAGAGCCCAAACAAAGACTGGCAGTTGGACTAAGGTTGGTTTCAAACATATATATAAATACATAAGCCAAATGCACTAAAAGCAGGGGCGGAGCTAGATGGGGGGCCAGTGGTGGCCTTAACCAATCATTGGCCACCCCTACCATTTTTTCCCTCTGATACAGATGGTGGCAGCAATACTACTCTCAAGTGGAATATTCAAACATTTAACAATTTTCATATATCAACAGTTACCTGAGAACAAAAACACCGTGGTTAATTATGCTCATTAATATACTAACACTAAATATGATAAGTACAGAATTCATGCTCTTTGCAGAACTAGATTTTGTGTTTTATGGGGTAAAGAGAAAATGATGTGTCTCTGTGCGAGTCATCTAAGATCTTCAGTGAAATCATATATAAAAAAAAAACTATTTTAATAAAAACTTATAAAATAATCAATTTATGTAGATATTAGTACTTGTAAATATAAATTTTATGCAGAATGGTTGTTGATAAAAGTAGGTAGGTAATGACAATGGAAAAGATGTTCGCCCCATAACTCAAACTTGAAAGGATTTTATCCACTGTACCTTTTATCCAGGAAGCAAGGATGTTTAAATATATGCGTTTATTTTTTAGCAAAGGCTGTATGAAAGAATAGTGGTCTTTATGTGGAAAATATAGATATTGTGTCGTTAATTTTCCTGTAGGAACAGTATAGATTGACCCTGAGGTTCTGGCACCTATGCGTTTTCGGCCTCCCCTCAGTGTACGTTTGTTATTGCTTGGCCACACTTAAAAAAAATTCTGGCTAAGCCTCTGAACAGGAGGTCTTCAACAGGGGGTCCGTGTCCGTGTTGTCCCATCAACCAGGAATCAGAATCAGAAATACTTTAATAATCTCAGGGAGAAATTACTTTAGTTACATTAGTCCATCTGTAATAGAGTGACTATAAGACCAGTTTTATATAATACAATTTCATACAATATATATAATTAGGGGGTCTCTGCTCCATCTCGCCATCAGTTTCGGGTTCCTTGGCCTGGAAAACGTTGAAACGTTGTTAAATGTAATGTGACTAAAATTTACTACCTCTGCGATTTGAACATTGCATTAGTGGCCCAGCCGTATATGCATGTACATGTTTCACATTTTTGATTTTGGTATCCCGTACATGTAAAAGTCTCACAGACCTTGCTGCAGGAATGACATCATATGACAATATTGTCACTCCTTTTGGATGCCACTGGCTGATTCTCTACTGTTTCACAAAGATGTCTGTGGCAGAAAGACATTAGAGGTCCTTTGACTGATATTTACTGTGTTGTGGCCTCTTCGGTTTAAACCATAAGTATGCTATAGAACTAGTGATGCATATAGAGCAGAAGTCGGCAACCCAAACTGTTCAAAGAGTCATATTGGACCAAAAAAAAACAAAACAAATCCATCTTGAGCCGCAAAAATGAAAAAGTCTTATATAGGCCTCATATGGCAACACGGGTTGCAAGTGCGTTATAATAAGCATTCATGATTAAATGTTTAATGGAGCAAATGCATCATGTGACTACTCTCCTGTACGGTATTCAGTGCTATAATTTTAAAATCCATAGTAGCATGGGGTGAGGGAGGACCTGTGAATGCTCTCAATGCGTGGAGCTTGCCGCTTCATCGCAGGGTTTGTGTCCATTAGGTTTTGTTGCTTTAATGAAATTATAGAAACACGATAAAGGAATCTTTTCTATGGTGGATGTGTTTCTGTTTGGAGGAGT